CTGTGTTCGTGCGAGAGAGCTTTGAGAAGGAGCTCAAACAAAGGACACCCAATCGCTCTTTGTGGCGATTTGTGGCAAACCTACGAAAGCCAAAGGCAGAAGAGCAAGAAGACATCGAAGCCTTTGATGGGCCGGTCAAGCAAAATGCTTTACCAGATTTGACCACTTTGGACCCGGCTGTCAGGCAGAAAGTTGAGGAATACAGAGAGCGCGATACAAATAAGGGTGCAAAAGATGGACTTTGCACTGCGTTTGTCTACTTCATACTGGTAGGCTGTTACATTTGGTTCCTGTATGTGAACATGGCAGTGGAGGAGAAGAGCAGTCTGAGACTTGCCGTAGAAGCAATCGTGAAAGACATACACGTTCCAATGCAAAACCAAGCCAACCGCAGCCAGGTTTTCCTTCAATCCTGGGACGAAATCTCATCGTGGCCACAGGTGGTGACCTGGATGCAGCTTGGACTTCCGGCGCTGATCTTCAATTCGACCACGCCCTCTTCCATGGCCATGGCCACCACAGGTGAGCAAATGATTGCCTCAGGCCTGAACTGCTTGCGAGCATTCAACTGCTTTGTCACTGGATCCTCTGGAAATGCAACAAGCATCGCACGTATAACACAAAAGAGGAGTGCGGCCACTCCCAACCGTGGCGCCAGAAGTTCATCAACACCTGAAGATGAGCGGTTTATTGGAGGTATTGACAATGGCACTGGCAACGAAATGCAAGGATTGTTAGTCAACACTTCAGGCTATCATAGTGCGATCTTTCCTAATGCGGCAGGAAACCCTTCAGAGGACTCCTCTTTGTCATTTCAGCTCACCCATCAGAATAGCCCGTTGTGCAGTACTGCAGCTGCAAGCGCAGAAGGCAGTTACAAACAGACTGGTGGGATTGTGTGTGAGCTTAGCGCAGATTTTGCAACATTTCATGATCAGATGGCCACCATGACAGCCAACAGCTTTTTTGTGAAAGAAACCGCATCTCTGGCCGTTGAATTGGTAGCCCACAACTCCAATCGGGACATGCTCAGCTACATAGTGATCACATTCCGAGTGACCCCAGCTGGAAAGGTGCACAAGGACATGCGAATATTTTCTTTGGCACTCTTTGGTTGGGATGTTGGTGTTGACAAGCTGGGCTACTTTATTGCACGACTGCTGCCTGGAGCTGTTTACATGGCGCTGGTTGTGGCTTTTACGATCATGCTGTATCGTGAGATGCAGTTGGAGCACGCCCGAAGATCTGTTGCGGAGGGTCCCGACAAAAGGCAAGGCTTCGTCAGCACTATTATTTCATTCTTCTCGAGTGATGTATTCCGACCAATTGATGCAGTTTCCTACTTGATGTCGTTCTGGAGCTTTGTTTTGTTTATTCTGTGGCTCGTGAAAGAAGGTGATCTCCAAACTATGTGGCTTGGAAGCTACGGGGGCGTGGTTAATTTCAGCTCAGAACTCATCAACCAGGAGAAGGATTACAACCGCATCTCAGCGGCAAACTTGCTGCTGCTTTTCGTTCGGCCACTCCGATTCCTGCGAGAAGATCCCCGCATGCAACGCTTGAATCAGACGTTGCATGATGCTTGGGCAGATATTTTTTGGTTCATCATCGTCCTGTCAATTATGCTCATTGCGTGCACGCTGTTGGCCAATGTGTCTTTTGGCACAACACTTCTGGCGTGCAGCGACATTCCATCATCCTTCATCTTTTGCTTTAGCTTTATTCTTGGCGAGTTTGATTTCTGGGGCATGTATGCCGCAAATCCAGTTATGGCTGTGATTTTCTTCTTCCCTTATTTGCTGCTTGTTTACTGTGTCTTCACAAATATATTCTTTGCCATACTGGACAGATTCTTCATATCAGCCGATCCTCCTCCCATGAAGCTCAAACGCAAGCTGAAGCCGCTCCTTTCAAAGGTTTGCAAGTGCATTGACTGGGATGATGATTTTGTTATGGAGGAAGATCCCAAGGGAAGCAAAAAGGAAGGTCCAAAGTCCAGAGCTGACCGCGTTGCCGTGACGGCCAAGACCATTCACGACATCAGGAAGGGGCTAGATTCCGACACTGGCAGTCGTTTTGCACGCAGCAAACCCTTGAGCGAAGTCTGTGACTTGGATGAGAGACTTCTGAGCGTTATGAAGTGGAGCAAGGATGAGGCAGCTGCCATTGTCAATGAATTTGAAGGGCTACTTGTAAAGAAGCAGCAGCACAAGAATGAAGATGTTTTCCTGAAGCAGATCGTGATGAAGAAGGTTGATCAAGATGAAAGCAAAACGAGGGAAGAGATGGAGGAAGCATACAGGCAGATGAGATATGCTGCAGAAGTTCATGAGATTATGGTCATCCGTGATCAACAGACTCTCGCAAAATATATTTGGCTGCTGGAGCAGAAAATTCAAAAGAAGATGACGGACAAGCATGCGCTTGTGATGGAGGCCAGGCTTGTGCTTGCTTGCTGGCTGGCTGGCTGGCTTGCTTGCTTGTTCGTTTGTTCGTTCGTTTTTCGGTTTTGTTATCGTGCTAGTTTGTTTTGTGTTTGATGGTTGACTGCAGGTGTTAGACATGCGCTGCGCCACTGCTCCCATGAGCAGGTCCAGCACTTGCAGGACGAGATGGACAGAATGCGTTTCACCAAAGATGATTTGCAAGCCCAGGCACAGGAGGCAGGCGATCAAGTAGGATGGTTGCTATTGTTGCGGCAGGGAAATACCACAAAATGACAGGTTTATCTTGAAAATCACATTCCCCGCTTTTTTTTGCCTGCCGGAAACAATAAAAGCGCACTATTTTAACCCCTGGAAACAGTCACAGTCCCGGGCCTCACTTGCCTGACACCTGGAAGTGCGAGCTTGTAGCTCTGGAAGCTTGGGGCTTTGTGGGCAGCCCCCCCAATGTGCAGTGATAGTATTAGATGGACCCTCTGCCTGTCTGTCTCCATTTCAAGGCGGCTAAACATTTGGCCGCACAACGCAATGTCAATGCCGCCCCCCCCATCCTGAGATGACTCCATTGCACAAAGGTCCAGGCAGGAGACCCACAACAATACATGCCTTCCCCATCCTTCCCCCTCCCCTCCAAAAAAGAGCTTCGCGTGCGCCCTCGCCAGGCAGAAGGCATGGGGACAGACATACAGGAACAAGAAGACGCCCCAGGTTGCTTGTCTCATAAATGTCATTTTGTCAGCAGTTTTCGGGAAGCTCCATAAGTAAGCTGGCAGTCGTATCAGCTGAGGCACAGAAGAGGAGGAAGAGTTTGCTGACCTGAGCCGTGAGGAAGGTGCGTCCCATGCAGCCGCGAGTGACCCAAACGCTGCGATGGACAGCACGGTGCCGGGAGAGAATCCCACCACAGTGGCCATGCTGAAAGCGTTGAATGGCTGAAGAAGATTGCAGGTCTCACCGAGCTCCCTGCAAGTGCAAAGCTTGCACACATTCACCCGACTAGATTCACACTTGACACCTGACACCTGTCGCGAAAGAGCGCTGGAAACAAGAGCAGCTACGCATGTTCTTCAGATTAGCCAGCTGCCCCAACATGCTGCATACGACAACTAGGAACCCACACGAGAACGTTTCACGGTACTGGACAGTTGTAGAGCTGGAGACTTCTGAAGTGACCCGCCCCAGTAAACTTGTGCTAAAGTAAAGAGGTGTAAGCCTCAAGCCGCATTTGTCAAAGTATTTTGTGTGATGCTGTCTCACGGAAAGTTGCGTTTTTGGAGACAAGCTGCAACACTTTTAAACCTATATCTCGCGTACTTGCAATGACAAGTCACAGCTCTTAAGCAGGTGGTGCCACAGTATACTTTGCGTTGCCGCATGTCTACTGAGAAGCGCTAGCTTTCCAGCTGCCGTGCGTAGCATGCTTAGTACTGCAAGTTGCGATTCAGAATCTGGAACTGTCAAAATGTGCTTGGTGTGCCACACTTGAATGGAAATGTGGCAACGAGGTTCCGAATGGTAAAGCAAAGCGACAGCGCCAAAAAGCTGAATTGGAGCGAAAGATCAAGGGGCGTTGATACAACTTGCTTGGCCAGGTTGGCAAGTCCAGATCGCGAGACGGCCGCTATGCTTGCTTTGCCCTTTGTTGCCTGCTCAATGCTAGCTGTCATTTTCATTGATTCTGAGTGAGAGCAACATGTTGGGTTAACTGGGTGGGTTTAGTCCGGACTGAGGCGCAGAGGACGCGAAGTCCGGAGTATGCAAGCGCACCACAAATAACGGTGTTTTATAGGGTTCGTGGACAACTGGCGTCTTCCAATTGCTGTCAAACCTGCATACTCGTGTTTAGGAACTCGGATACGCAGCGTTGGCAGGCGTGGCAGGCATGGCACTTCTCACACGCGCTTGCGTGGTCTCAGGCTGAGATTGCTGCTGCTCTTCGGGAGCCGCGGAGAATCCAAGAGAGGTCTGTGTGGTCTATGTCGCGTTGGGCAAAATCCCTGTAGGCGCAGCATATTCTTGAGCACAAGCGCTGCAGAAAGCCTCTGGACGCGCGCGCGACCTTCTGAGAAGAGCTGGCTGCGCCTCTGCTACTTTTTCAGTAGAGCGCCCAGAAAATCAGCGCCCTCCATGCGCTTGGGCTGCCGCGGCGGGCTGTTCGAGAGCGGAGATTTAAGCTACAAACTTCATCTCCGCATACTTTCTTGCTTGCGCGCTGCGCGGGCGCTTGTCATGTCGGCGTCTGCGAGCTGCTGCGCGCACTCCGTCTACTTCCAGAACCCCTGACTGATGGAAACACTTCTTTCTGGCTTTGCGCAAGCTGCGCCCAGGCTATCACCACACGACACATGCCATAGACCACATACTCGCGTTTCTGGCCAGCGATACGTCAATGTTTGGCTGGGTCTTGCAGTAAATTGACAGAAGCCAAAGATGTCCGAACAGAACTACCCCCGCATACGCCTGCCAGAAGTCAGCGCAATCAAAACGCAACCATCCCCATCACCGACACTCAAGTCTACCTAGCACGGTGCTCAGCAGAAGCTAGCGTTTGCTTTCTGTTCGCTTTCCCTACAAAAATTTTGCTGTAGCCGCATGGCATGCTCCTCGAGTTATCTATGTTCGCTAGAATTTGTGAATAAACTGAGCTCCGGCAGCTTGTTGCTCAACCATAGATTGCTCAATGCTTCGCTTCATGATTTCAAAGAGGTTGCTTCAACGCTGAGCGCGGCTCAAGAGTGCACAAGAGTCTGCTCTTGTTAAGTATGAAGCAATGCCAGAGTTGTCATACCGAAGTCATGTCATTGTCTGCGTTTGATCCAATGGTGGACGGATGCGCATTCCGATCATTTGCCAAGCCGAATGAGTAGTAGTCGCCAGCGCGTCGTTTGATTTGCCTTATCAAAGTGTGTGTTTTCCCGAACCTGGTTTTGCCTGTGTAGGCCTCATACGGTCGGACTAGTGCCGGTACTCGATGGGAGTGACTAAAGTCAAGCTGGGAAGTCCTTCTTCAGGCCCAGGCCGTTTCTCGCAGTGTCAGCATGTTGCAGTCTTGAGACTCACAGCATCTGGTGAAGGCAATCTTGAAGTACACTCAGAGCTGGTGCCAACTATAGCTGGTTGACGCTGTATGTTCAAGGATCATTTGAACCTGTACTTGACTTGACATGCTGGCCTTTGGCTGCTGCATGTACAAAGTGCTGCCTGGGGTGCCATGTGCAACACGCACACACAAAGAACTGCCTGGCTCAATAGGGCATGAGTTGAGAGGAAAGGTTCGAAGCTTGGTTTGTCAGACTCACTCAGTCCGATTTTGCGAGCCAGCCTGCATTGGTCAATCCGACTACCGTCACCGCCATCACCGCCATCACTCCACCATGAGTCTTTCTCCTTCGGCATTGTTTGAGCCTTTAGCTTTCTCATGCGAACATCGGGCATTCCACTGTTTGGCTTGGCTAGTCGCAAGCTCAGAGCTTGTTTGCATGTCTCGCTTAGTTCTCACGTGATGTTTTCAATGTGGGAAAGGCTCGCAGAATGGACCAGAAGAAGCTAAGGGAGTTGACGGGTCCTTAGTTGCGTCGGCAACGAATTTCCTACCAGCGGTGCAAATCGCATGTGAGGGTTGTGTTGCTCACTTGCACTTGTGGATTATATTTCTGACAGCTTCCCAATTCACGCAACCTTGCGCTCACAGCTCGAAGATTTGGTTGGATGTTTGTTTGCCCACAATTTGTACCCAGGACAAAAAAGGAGAAGGAAAGGCGCGGCCAGGCCGATGCCACGTGAGCGCACAATCAGAATCAGCCCCATGTTGCCTGGGCGCTCAATTGCAGGATGTCTCAGTCAAGCGCCATGATGTGAGACAGAATCTCGCCAAACGCCCCAATCCTGAGCTCACGTGAAGGAAGATACGCTTGTGCATGTTGTCGGCTGAGGTGCACGTGTGGAAGTCGTGCCACAAGCACGAAGCTTGGATGTTCAAGATGTGTTGGCAACTTCGGCTTTGCTCCTTTGCCTTTGCAAGTGACAGCTTCCCCAGTCCAAGAAAACACTAGACAAGGCGGAGAAGGTAGAGACCGTGAAGCAACAGGAGAGAAGTGGGAAGAGTCGATAGTCCTCATTGGAGCAGGTAGAGCAAACTAGCTATAGTAGTAGAGCAGGCAAGGTGGGTCTCAAAAACCAGGAGGCGGCTTGTGACAGGAGCAGCTTGACGGTCCACCCGTGAGAGAAGAGCCCGATGAGCCTGAGGCACAGTATGTACATGATGATCTGTATGTTCTGCTTGACGCAGTTCTTGGTGGGTCAAGGATGTGCCATGCTAACTAATATTTGAATAGTTTGCACTTGTTGTTTAATGTTAGCTGAACCGCAAAGAAATCCCATTGGAAAAAGCAGATTCTGAGTAAAACCCAATTTAAAACAGAATCAATTCTAATCTAAATTTTAACATAACACGGCAATTGTGATTGGATTAGTTCCTTAGGATTAGTTCCTTATCAAATTCGGTTTAAACTCTGTTTTAATTGTACAAGGGTCTATTGGGAAAGGAGTTCTACCTAAATTCTAACTGTGAGATGCAGTTATCAGTAGGATTCAGTATTTCCTCCTTGAGCCCCATTTAAATCCTATGCAGCTTCAAGTTGAATTTAGAGAGCGGACGTTGGTGGAGATGTGAATTGAGGAACGTAATGACAAAACAATCCAATCATAATTTATATATTCAATTAATCATGTTTGTTGTATATAAAAATGATTATTCCTTACTGATAGAATTGTCTTTACACATCAGTAAACATTTTGACATGGTTTATTCTTTCCTTATGACATCTACTAGATATATTTATCAAGTTCTACTTAATTTCGATTTGACATGAATATAACATCCTCGAGAACCAAAACGACAAAATAGCAGTAGTATGCCGCTAAAGTCCGGACAGGTGACATAAACTTGCTGTTTTGGTTTTCTCGAGGTCTTTCACTTTTCCGGCACAAATGCAAAGCAACTCAAACAACAAGACTCTGCCCCCGCAAGTCAGGCCAGCCAACATGGTGTTTATTTTTGGTTTTTCTTCTCTCTTTCTGGTCTTTATCCCGAAAGCGTTGCGAAGGGTTCTTCCGACAAAATCGCCAGCCTTATCACACAGCTAAACTTGCACGAGCCAACTTGCACGAGCCAACTTGCACGAGCCAACTTGCCCGAGCCAACTTACACGAGCCAACTTACACGAGCCAACTTGCACGAGCCAACTTGCACAGCCAACTTACACGAGCCAACTTGCACGAGCAAACTTGCTCGAGCCAACTTGCACAGCCAACTTACACGAGCCAACTTGCACGAGCCAACTTGCACGACCCAACTTGCCCGAGCCAGCTTGCATGAGCCAACTTGCACGAGCCAACTTACACGAGCCAACTTGCACGAGAACAACTTGCACGAGATATCACACAGTCAAACTTGCACGAGACATGTGGACACGAAAGTACTTAGTTAGTCTCTTAAGGCGGCGCTGTGGGACCGAACCCACCCTGCGAAAATGACATTCTCTGCGGGGATTGGCGTGCACGATGTCCAAAAACTGCGGACTTTTTACGATTTCTGACTTGCCCGCGCGACCCTCTGCAGGGATTGGCGTGGTCGATGCGCAAAAACTGAGGACTTTTTACGATTAGAGGGTGGATTGGCGTGGTTGATGTCCAAAAACTGAGGACTTTTTATGATTTCTGCGGCGCGCGTCTGCGGAGATTGGCGTGGTCGATGTGCAAAAACTGAGGACTTTTTACGATTTCTGACTTGCCCGCGCGACCCTCTGCGGGGATTGGCGTGGTCGATGTGCAAAAACTGAGGACTTTTTACGATTTCTGGCGTGGTGGATCGCACACAATGCTAGTCGGAACGCGGGCTTGAGAGTTTGTCTCGTGGTTACGCTCCTGCTCTTGGCAGTGACCGGCCCCGGGCTGGAATCCTGCTTGGTCTCCGCGGCCTTTAAGTTAGAAAGTCAGCAGCGCGAAAGTGGCTCACAAAGGGTGCATTCGTAGCTCCGGCTCAAACCGAAAGGTTGCCATGTTGCGGCCAGCGCTGCACGCAGAGAACTTGCTCGGAGAACTTGCTCATAGAAACTTGTCCCGAGCTTGCGCAGCATACTTTTGCGTCGCGCTTGCGCATCGCAACTTGCTTAGAGCACTTGCGCCCGCAGAGCAACTTGCGCTGAACACTTGGGCCGAGGACTTGCGCAGAGCAACACTTGTATAGAGCTCGCAACACCGAAGCTCATCAGTCACAGAGGGGAAAGCTTTGCAGATATCCGCAGGAGCACACGCGCACGCACGTGCGCAGTTGTGACACACACACACATGTCGGCTTTATTTGCTTTGATGTGCCGTGGCAAGAGTTGAGACATGCGGCATGCTGGGTGTTGCATGCAAAATGCACGCACACACACAAAAACACACACACACACACACACACACACACACACACACACACACACACACACACACACACACACACACACACACACACACACACACACACACACACACACACACACACACACACACACACACACACACACACACACACACACACACACACACACACACACACACACACACACACACACACACACACACACACACACACACACACACACACACACACACACACACACACACACACACACACACACACACACACACACACACACACACACACACACACACACACACACACACACACACACACACACACACACACACACACACACACACACACACACACACACACACACACACACACACACACACACACACACACACACACACACACACACACACACACACACACACACACACAGACACACACAGACACACACACAGACACACACACAGACACACACACAGACACACACACAGACACACACACAGACACACACACAGACACACACACAGACACACACAGACACACACAGACACACACAGACACACACAGACACCACAGACACACACAGACACACACAGACACACACAGACACACACAGACACACACAGACACAC